ATTGTCACAATGAATCCTCCCGTACAATGAATAGATCCTAATAAAAAAAGATTGATTTATGAACCAGAAGCCAGCCTTCATCAGACCCTGAATCTGACAGTCCATCTCAGAGTCCTGAGCCATGAGAAACAAATTTCTGTTTAAACAGTTTATGGTATTTTGTTACAGCAGCCTGAAGTTATAGTCAGTACCTAAGAGGAGCTAGTCTCTGGTAGTTACTACCCGATGTTTTCTCTCAGAGCTTTGGGAGTGGGCTGGGGAGGTACTCTAGCAGAAAGATGCCAAAGTGGTATTGTGATTTTGGTTGAGAAGAATCTCGAAATTCTAAATTATAACCAAGCCTGTGATTTTGAAATGATGTACTATAAATTCTCTTTTGTAACTGACAAGTATCATTTTCTTTCTTCTTGGTAATTATTGGGGTTTGAGCTCTGGGCCTCATGCTTGCTAGGCAGACATTCTACCACAAAACCCTAGCCCTTCCAATCTCTGCCTCTTGAATAGCTGAGATTACAGGTGTGAGCCACCATGCCTAAGCCTTATTTTTCACTTTCAAACTCAAATTTCTAAAGTTCTAGGAATTAAAAACTTTTCAATAATTTATGGGAATTAAATGTCTAAGATACCCTACTGTTTCCAAACATGCTTCTCTGTAATTAGAAAGAAAACTATTGTTCAATTTGAAGCAAAATTGTGGTTATTTAAAGGTTCTTTATTTGTCAACACTGCACCTCTATTAATCAGTTGAAATAATTCTTTCAGTGTTTGATAAATTTAGAAAATAGGAAAATCATTTGCTAAATTTACGGAATGAATTTTTCCATTCTTTTTTGCTTAACATTAACAGACCAATCTTAATTTTGCTTCTTGAAGTTTATCAGCAAGTGGGTGCCTTTTCTCTGTCAAGGACCAATGACCCACTGGAAAAATACACTAGGCCCCAAACCACAAGTTAAGCAGCAAATGCTTTTTGCTTCTCTACACCAATAAATATGACATTAGATATAATACAAGATATACTAGTCCTATGCTATGTGGTTGATTAAAGGGAGATGGAAGTAAAATGAGTTAGGAATGTACAAAGAGGCAGGAAACACACAGCAAGAGAAACACATGATAATAATCATTCATTTTCAATAAAGTTTTCTTGAAGTAGCATTCCTATATAAATCATTTTCAAATATTGTCATTCCACATAGGAATAAAGGACATTATACATTTCAAGTAGACACAGGACTAGAGGCATCATCTTCCAGTGTTTGCCTTACGTGAAGGCCTTGTAAACGGAAAAAGTCAGAGGGAATCACAGACTCTACCATATTCTATTTATCATCTTGAGCCACCTGTCTTTTTCCTAAGATATCCCCCCTATTATACATTAGCTTCCAAACATTTCAGGACATTTATTTTTAGCTTTGGTTTTGTCATAATCCTCACATCTTTATCTTCTAAAACCAAATTAAACATAATGAAGGGTCACTAACAGAAAAGGAAAGGCATTACTTAAGAACAGACAGGGGAAAAATATCAATGAAACTCAGTTGGCTCACACCGGCTCTCCAAACATCTGGCACCCTGGATGCCAAAAGCCCTCAGCTCTCATTTACTTAAAATGTGGTTGTCCAGTGAAAATAAATGATCAAGCTCTTTCTCAATTAGTATCTGAGCTAACAGGAATAAAAGGTAAAAGTTCAGAAGAAATATGAATTACTCCTACTTTTTTTTAGCATTGTGAAACAAATCCAAGTTTGCCCATATAAAAACTAGTAAGTTAAACTTATCTGCTGAAGATTAGCCTCACACTTTAGCACACAGAATCTATGTTTACCACCTTCAATTTGCACTGATAGGTTAATTTACTTCAGGGGATCAAACTTAATCATAAAATAAGGCTTTCAACACTCATTTGTCATACTTTGAAAGTGATCTTTCAGAAACTTTTCTTTTTTTTTTTTTTTTTTTTTTAAGATTTTGCCATTGTAGCACAGTACAAAAAACATAAATGTGGAGAGGTCAATGGTACCACCTAAACCAAGAATATTTGTTTTGTTAATCCTTCCTGGAACATTGATGGATGGGAGAAAGGGAGAAGTTTTCATGGATTATATACTCTGCACAATGTAAGTTGTTCTTTTTTTTTTTGGATGGCAGTGGGGCCTATGTGCTTGCTAGTGCTCTGTCACTTCGCCCACACCCCTAGCCCTTTTTGCTCTCCTTTGTTTGTCTCACTCTCTTACCTTTAACCACAATTCTCCTACCTCTGCCTCCTGAGTAGCTGGGATTACAGATGTGCACCAACATGCCCAGGCCTTAAAATTATTTTTAAAGAGGACAGATGATCTTGTCTTTCCTGTCAAAATACTAAAACCTAGCTTAAAAAGCAACATGCCACAGCTCAGTGGTAGAATGATGGCCTACCATGTGCAAGGCCATGGGTTCCATCCCCAGCATCACAGGAAAAAAAAAAGGAAAAAGAAAAAATGGCATGGCCAAGTATAACGTGCATCAGGGATACCAATGGGGCTGAGAGAATCCAACTCATTTCTGAGAGAAGAGGGTGTCTTGTGGTAGCTACTTAAGGTTCAGGTGGCTGAACCACCATCACTCATTTTTGAAATTTTAATGCATTATTTTAGCAGTGAGTACTAAGCAGTGTTTGAGGGCTGAACCATAAAACTCTCACTGTCACTAATGTGAAATCACAGTTTCTCATCCATAAAAAGAAGGAGGTGAACAAGGTCACTGCCAAGGCTGCTTCTAGCTGTAGGAAATAACTCTACATTACTCTTTTGGCTTACAATCAACCAGAGTTCGTGGCCTAAACCTTTACTGATTCCCACCAGCAAAGAGAAATACAGCATACAAGTAAAAAGTAAAAACAATGACGTAAAAGACTTCACACATTATGGAACCAATGTTACAATGACCAATAGCCAATTGTAAGCCTAGAAAATTAGGTCAAGCAGGTAAATGACTCGGACTTATTCTGATAACATATGCAACATAACAGAAGTCCAAAACTCAGGTTCTAATCCTACTTTGCTATGGTGGAAAACGGATGTTTGGCATCAGAGGCCCTAGAGGTTAAATTCAGTTTCACCACTTCCTGGCTTTGTGATTCTGAGACAATTCCTCTAAGACTCCATTTCTTCCTCTGGAAAAGTGGATTATGTCACTTCATAGAATCGTGACAATTTAAAAAGCATATATTGAGCATCTATGACAGGGCATTTTTAAAGTATGTCCATATGTGAGATTTTTGCCTACTTCCCATATAATGGGTTCCTTAGTATATTGAAATGCAAATGAGAAAGTTGGAATTTTAAACATTAAATTAAAAGGAACCAAGGACTGTCAATTTTACCTCTAAATCTCCAATCCTTCTAACTTCTCCTAGCACACCCTGTTGTAAGCTGCTGTCATTTCTTGTCTACTGCAATGGCTTCCTTCTAACCAGCCTTAAAATCCTCTCTCGTCTTCAGCCAACTCTACTTCTTCACAGCAACAAGACAGGTGTGCACTTAAGAGAATGAAATCCAAATTCTACCAAGCCTTTCAGATGTGACACGTGGCTCATCTGAACCAAATTTGCATGTGCCACTTTCCCTGCTGCTCTTTCTAGCACAATGTCCATCTTTTAGACGTGACTTTCCTTCTCACCTCTGGCTTTCACACACACTGCTCCTTCTCCCTGGACTGATTCCCACCATTTCCACCCTATTCTTACTCTTTCTTCAAAAGCTCAACTGTCACTTGCTCAAAGGCTAAAACCCATCAAGTCCCTCTGTTATTTTGACTCCAGGCATTCTGTATATCTTCACAGAAATAACTGCCACTGTAATTAACTAATGAGGCTTATAGTTAGTTGTTTAGTCTGTCTCCTCCCTGAGGACAGGGTCATATTGACCACTGCGTCCCCAGCACTAGGACATTTCTGGAACAGGCCAAGTGCTCAGTAAATCTCTCCTGAGGAGAAATGAAGGAACGTCTTGTCCAAATGCTTCACTTTGCAGATTCGGAAGCTATAGTTAGGATCTGTCAAGTAACCTGCCTAAGGCCAGGACACCAAGAGTTCTTATTGCCAGGCTAATGGTCTTTTCACTGCACTTAACACTGAAGTTCCTCTCAGCTCTAGCATTCTTGTTATCCCCCAAATTCAATAAAGGAGGTAAAGACATTTTGCCAATTTCACTGTTCTTATTCTATTTCCCACTCCCTGTAGGGCGCCTCTAGGGCACTTTTATATCCTGTTTTTTAACTTCCTCTTTGTATGAAATTCAATATACATTTACGAATAATATAGCAGGTGAGGCAGACAACTTCCTAAGACCACGAATTGTACTTAATAAGAGAAGTACAATGCTAAGATGAATGAAGTACAGAAGTACAATTTAGCAAAAAACGAGTTGTTATCCAGGAAACAGCAAAGAAAGGACCCATACTGGTGATTTCTGAGATAGGTTTTGAAGAATGAATAGGAGTTGGCCAGGTGAAGAAAACTTCCAGGTAAAAGGACAAGGACAGAGGCTCTGTATCCATTCCTTACATATGGAGTGAGCACCTCTGTGTGCCAACACCTCCAAGCTGGGCAAGTGCATGGCCCACTAACTCCGCAAATGGCACTGCTGACACTGCTACAAAGGTAGCTGGAAACTGGCGAGGGGGGCAGATCGGAGCACCCCTTCTGCCCTCGCTGCAAGGCATGCACTTTGATCTGCAGGCATGGAAAACCACTGAAGACTGAGCAAGGAAGGGACAACCTTTACATCTGTTAATGAGTACCACTCAGTTCAGCTCACACTCTCCCAGACCTAAGAAACAAAGTCAGCAAAAATGCCTGGAAAATCCGCAGAGACCCAATACAACCTCCCAAACAACACGCGACTCACAAGATTTTTAACTACACCTGGGGGAAGGGTGGGGGAGGGGAGGCGGGGCAGCACCCACCACCCCACAAGTGACACAGTGACAAGTACCGGACGCCCCCGGCCCAGGCTCACCTCCGCAAGTTCTCGATCTCGGCCGGGATGCTCTGCAGCTGGTTGCCGCCCAGGCTGAGGGTGTGCAGCGCGCGCAGCTCCAGCAGCGAGGCGGGCACCTCCTGGAAGAGGTTGCCGCTGAGGTTGAGCACCTGGAGGCTGCGGCACAGCGGCGACTGGGCCAGGCCCTTGGGCAGCGCGCCGGGCCCGCCGAGCCGGTTGTTCCTGGCCAGCAGCGTGCGCAGGCCGCTGAGAGCCAGCAGCTCGGGTCCGAGCGCCGTAAGCGCGTTGCCGCTCACGTCCAGCAGCTGGAGGTGCGGGAAGCCGCTGCCCAGCGCCCGCGGCAGCGACACCAGACGGTTGTGCGGCAGCAGCAGCCGCAGCAGCGCCTCCCGCGAGCCGCGCCGCTCCTCGGCGCGCGCCTCCAGCTCCGACTCGAGCGTCTCGGTGGACACACTCAGGCGGGACCAGTTCAGCTCGGCCTCCCCGGCCGCGGCCGCCGCCGCCGCTCCGGCCTCCTCCATCCCCGCGGCCGCCCCGGAACCCGATGCGAGCGCTGCGTCGGAAGTGGCGCGGGCCGGCGCTAACTCCGCGCCCCGGCCGAGTCACGCGACGCCCGGCGCGGAGCGCGCGCGCTGCTCGGGGCGGGCTCCGCCTCACGTGGCGCGCGGCGCGGACTTGACTGCGGAGCTGCGGCGCGGCCGAGGTGGCCCGGGCCGCCGGCTGTGCTCGCTCGGCGCGCCGCCGCGCTTTATAATCGCCCGCGTCGGTGGCCCGTCCCCGGCCGCCTTGGCACGCAGCCCCGGGACTGCGTATCTGGCCTGGCCTTCACGCGCCGCGGGCGCCGCCCTCCCTGCTTTCACTCGGGACCTGGGCCCGGCTGCAGGCGCCGAGAGCCAGACCCCCGGGTCCTGCCTCCATCCACTGTCACATGGCCCTGGCCCCTGGGCAGGGACTTGACTCCATTTCGGTTTTCCCGTTCGCAACACGGCCACAGTGCCTTCCCCGCTTGCTCCTTTGTTAAAAAGCATGATAAAAGGTATAAGTAAGGACTTTTGCCCACCTTAATCAACTGTAGAAGCCTTCTGGTTTTTGGTCTAAGTTACAGGGACTAGGAATGAATTTGGGGGCTCAATGGAAGAGCTTCCTTCCACTTGAGATAGAGCCTATTAATTGGTCAGTGTAAGGACTAACAAAGCATTGAGATTTTAATACAGTTTAACTGGGAAAATCCTGACTCGGACTTTAGTAATTGTAATGAACATATTTGTATACTTGTCCCAAATTCACTTTCTCAAAGAACATTTTGTAATTTTGAAAAATCATAGTAGAAATAAGAAAATAGCTTATTTACTTACAAAGCATATGCATAAGAAAGTTAAATAGTTGTGTGTAGTCGATGACATTAAATTGCTTTCTTCCTAAAATAATAACTTTTTTTCTTGTCACTTATTTGTGTGAGAAACTGTGTGCCTCTTGTTCCACAGCCAAACTTTAATTTCTGGTGGTAGTGGGAGAATTTTCTCTTGTCATTTGAACAGTCCACGTAGGAAATATTTTTTAAAACCTACAAGTGTCTTGCAGGCATCTGTTTTGAAAGGATCTTTTCTTAAATGATCCTTATTTCAGATCACACTAACATTCTAGTAGTAGTCCTAATATATGACAATCGAAAATATTTAAAGTAATAAAATTTTTGTTCTTAAAATGTGTATTGGTGATAAAAATAAGGTGACAAATGTAAACTGAAATAATTTGAAGAGTTAAGATGTTACAAGGTAGAAAGTTTGAGTAATCACATAGGATAGAACTCCACATTATATAGAATGGAGGAAAGGAAATAGAAAAAGTGATGTAAGTGAAGAAGTGGGCAAAGTGACAGCTTGTAGAGTTGTAGTGGGGCCTACCTAATAAAGGCTGCAACACTCTAGGTGTTGAATTTAGGGAGTTACAGGTCACTGGACTGCTGAGATACTTGAGAAACTGCCTTCCAGCGCTGAAACTGTGTTTCTGCCTTTTTGAAGCTATTGGCAAGATGACAGTTTCAGAGTAAAATGCTTGTCTCTTGTTCAGTTAGAGTAGGCTCCTATTTGTACAGAATGGCTACCTTTATTTTCATTTTTTTATTCTTCCTCCCACACCCATTGCAGGCACAATCCAAGATAACTTAGATTGGATTAGTGTATTTTAGTTAACTGCCTGATTTTTTGACTAGTTGGATGGGATTGAAAGGTCCTTGAGAGGAGCTGCCTCCTTTCTAATTTTATCCCCAGCCCCTAACACAGTGCCTGCTTCATGGTAGGAGCTCTATATCTTTTTTTTAATGATTCTTGGGTTTGAACTCAGGGACAGCAGTACTCTGTCATTTGAGCCATGCCCCAGCACTTTTTTGCTTTAGTTTGTTTTTGGATAGGGTCTGGCATTTTTGCCAGGCTGGCCTTGTAGAGCAGTCCTCCTATGTCTGCCTCCTGAGTAGCTGGGATTACAGTACTGTACCACCATGCCAGGCCCTCCCGTATCTTTAGAATAACTGTATTTGTAAATATTAAAAGGAGCTAATACTTACCAAGCACTCATTTCGTGTGTGTGTGTGTGTGTGTGTGTGTGTGTGACTAAGGTTTAATCTCAGATTCTCAGACTTACTAGGCAGGATCTCCAGCCCTGTTTGCTTTAGTTATTTTGGGGATAGGGTTTCACGTTTTTGTCCAGGCCAGCCAGGACCACAGTCCTCCTATTTATGCTTCCTGTGTAGCTGGTATTGCAGATGTTCACCACTGTGCCCAGCTATTGGTCGAAATGGTGGTCTCACTAGCTTTTTGCCTGCTGCCCTGAAACCTTAATCCTCCCAATCTCCACTTTCAAAGTAGCTCAGATTACAGGTGTGAGCCCTGAGCTGCAGCACTGGGCCATATTTATCAAGAATTGAAATGTAATTTTATTTATCACATCAGATAAAAGTAACTTCTAAATTTGATATAATTTTTTTTTTTTTTTGAGACAAGTTCTCACTGTATAGCCAGGTCTGGCCTTGAACTTACAAGCTCCTGCCTCAGCCTCCTGAGTGCTTGGGTCACAGACATACGCCACCATACCTGGCTCAAAAAGGAATTTTTATTCCCAGTTTAGAGATGAGGAAATTCAAACTCAAAAAAGATGAGTAATTGTTTAGTATGACGCAGAGAGTGACAGGCAAGGTAGAAATTCAGTCTTACGTCTATGTGACTCCAAAGTCCGGAACCTTTCAATTACACCACACTGCTCTCTTGAACCCAGTTTAGTGATTTTTTTTAGTATTCAACACAATGATAAGATCTTGGCAAATAGTGTGTTGATAGTATTGCAGATAGCATTTATCCATTTATAGTATTTCAAAATACTGTAATCATTAGAGGCAGGGCATTTGTCTTGGAGATTGGGGGACCTCAGACACAGAACTGGAATAGAGCACTTATCTGAAAGCATCTGAACTGAAGAAAATTTGGGGTGCAGTTCTTGTGTCAACATGACCCTGTTTTAGGACCACAGTTGATTAGAGCTACAAATTGCCTGGTGGCCTAGCACTTGGAAAGCCTGCCCAAAATGAAAAGTGTGTGTGTATGTGTGTGGGTTTTCATCTCTCCCAGGAATTTAACCTGGGAGCTTGTGAGAGCCCAGAGGGAAACTACAGTTGGTAGCAGACCAGAAAGAGGCAGGCATATGAAATGCTGCTGAGTTTTGTCAATTGTAGAACATAAGTGCAAAAAATTAAAAGAAATACCTCTGTTTGGGTCTAGGGCCACCTTAAATCAGAATGGTGCTCAGGTGCAGCTTTATTGAAGCCAGCTTTGTCAACAGCTGGATTAGTGGGCGACTCTCTTAGTTGCTTGTTATCATAAGGCTTCTCTATCTGAGCTACCATGGTTGCGTCTCCAGTGCAGCCAAATGGGTCTGAATTAAGCAGCATCTTCAACCTTTCTGGGGGCCCTGAAACCATTCAGTCAGCCTAGAGAGTGCTGACAACTGTGAAGTGGAAAAGCTTTGGTGCTGTGGATCCTTACACTTGGGTGGGTTCTATCTGTGGCTAGCTGAAGGAGATGTGAGCAGTGGGGGCTCTAGAGAGTGGGAAGAGAGAGGAGACAATATAAGGCACTACTTAGGAAAAGGAATATGGACTACAGAGAGTCGAGGAAGTCTGTGGCATATCAACCATTTATCAAAAGTTGACCTTTAGTCTACACTTGATCAAATTAAATGCATTTCAGGATATTTCCAGAGAAGAAAAAAACGAGGCCAAATGAGTGGCCTTCTCAGTCACTCTTTCTAAGCTTCCTGAGTTTAGGAACGTCAGCTGTTTACCACGGCATACCCAAGACAGAGTAGGTACTCTGCAAACAGTGACTGAATGAATTAAATACATGAATAATTTTGGAATCCTAATGATAGGTCCCATTGACCTATTGACTGCAAGAAACCAAGAAATAATCTAAGTGGATAACCCTCTCAAAAACTAACTAAGCGGCAATATATGGGTGAGGTTTGCCTTTTATTAGTTCTGGGTTTCAAAACCCACCTCTGGAAATCAGATTTCCCTTCATCTTGATTTGTTGCTTAATCTTCTAAAGCCTTGATTTCAACATCAGTATTATGAAGTATATTATATGTTTCATAGAGTCATTGTAAAGCTTGAATCTAAAGTCCTTAACATAGTAGGTAGCACAAAGTAATCCACAGCTACGGGCAATTATTATTTAGCTAGTAATATAGTAGTAGTTATTGTGTATAACTGTTACTCTTTGTTACTTGTTACATCATGATCAGTGTGAAGAGAAACAAAGTTGGAGTTAAGTGCAGTGGTTCAGGTCTGGAATCCTAGCTACCTGGGAGGCTAGGATCAGGAGGATTGCAGTTCGAGGTCAACCTGGGCAAGAAGTTCACAAGACACCATCTCAATCAATGTCTGGGTATGATGGCGTGCACCTGTCATCCCAGCACAAACAGGATGGCAATTCAGGCTAGTTTGGGCATAAAGTGAGACACTGTATCAAAAATAACCAATGCAGAAAGGGCTGGGGGTGTGGCTTAAGTGGTAGAGCGCCTACCTAGTGAGTGCTAGTACTGCCTGTGAGACACAGATTGAGGATGAGAGAGCATTGAGAACACACTTTTTAGTTAGGATTACACAATTTCCTATATAAACCATGGCTGTCTGCTCTGAGCCATGTTTTGGAGTTTAGTCTTTGAGAGATTGACCCAAACTCTCCTTGCCTAACACTTACGCTTGTTGTCCTATCCATCTTCAAGTCATAGCAAGACCTCATGACTCCTACCTCCATTCTTACCATCATCTCTGATTCCAGTTAATCTTTCTAAAGCATTGCTGTTACTATTTCAGTCCATCTCTTTCCCTTCTGTCTTTTCCCCATGTCGCCTTATTGCTTACTGGATGAAGGCCAGTTGTTCAGCCTGGCATGCAAAGTTTTGAATTTCCACAGCTGAATCCCTCTCACTTTGGCTTATTCATCTTGCCCTAAGATGCAGTCTTCCTATCACTGGAGTTGAAGTCTTTAGAAAATCAGTAACTCTGTGTTTAAGGCATGGAGGCAAAGAGAGC